GAGTTGCTCTGCCCCAGGCTTCCTGGAATCAGCCGCTGATCAGTTTCAGCAGCAGCTGACTTGGGGACGCCTGGGGTTCTTAAGTTGAATCTGTATGTAAGTCAGAACTGGCGTCCAGATTCAGCCGCGGTTGAAACTGATCAGTTTCAGCAGCGGCTGACGCCAGTTCCAACTTACATACAGATTCAACTTAAGAACAAACCTATAGTCCCTATCTTGTACCTAACCCGGGGACTGCCTGTATTTAATTAACCAATATTTATCATCTCTAGTCCTCAGCACCTCTGAAAATGCCCAAGGAATCAAAGCTGTGGATACAAAAATAGTGGCAAAAAGAGTTAACAGTTCTAAAAGTTTCGGCGTAAGTGAAAAACTACACCTACTTTTGCACACACAAAAATAGAGGCCACACCACAAAGTTAAGTTGACATGAGGCAGCTTATGTCAATCTAGTTAAGCAGCTTCTCTAAAATTTAATTCACTAACATAATTGAAAAAGGCATAGTAAATATGCTATAGTTAGATCAATGCAACGTCACACTGCATTGCTTACATCACATGTTGCTGCCATTCACAATGGCAGGGCTCCAGCTGTCAGCACCTCATATCGACAGTGAAATCAATGTAAGCCATCCTAGTGTCAATAGGAGTGTAGCATTGACATGCAAAGCCAATTTAATTACTTCAAAAACAACTAGGAGTTCTGTGGCACCTTAAAGCACAGGTGGGGAACCTAAGGCCCGGGGGCTGCATCCAACCCATGGATCCGGTCCCCAAGGACTGGGACTCCCCCCTAGCATTAGGAAGCCTGCGCTAGCGCTCCAGCCCTCCTGGCCACCTCCCCTATGGGGCTGGAGCACGCAAAATCTACTAGCCTAGCGCTCCCCCAGGCTCTGATGTGTGAGGAAAATGTGGGGAGTGTCTTTCTCCTCAGTTCGGGGCCACATCAGTGAGGGTGGTTGTTTTTTTCCCCTTTTTGTTTCTCACTTGTGTGCAGCCCCCAACTGATTTTTTTCCTGTGGTCAGTGGCCCCTGATTCAAAGGGTCCCAAATCCTGCCTTAAAGACTAATGATTTATCTGGGCATATGCTTTCATGAGCAAAAACTCACTTTGTCAGATACTTGGTGATGAAGAGGGTTTGTGTCCAAATAAATCTGTTAAGGTGCCACAAGACTCCTTGCTGTGTTTGCACATATCAACTAACACAGCTGCCCCTTTAATTACCACAGTGGCAGTACACTAATATAATTTAAGTTGAATTCGTTTTGTAGTGTAGATTCAGTTTTACATGAAAATCAGCAGGTAAAGTTAGAGCATTCTAGATCTCCAACTACAGTGGACGGTCTGTTGTAAGGCACTTCTAGAAGATAAAATTGTGAAACTGTCAGGTTCTAGATTGCTTTTTTTAAACAATTCAATGCATCTGTTTATGAACAAAGACTTAACACCATTTTCATGCATGTTTTCAAAGCTAGTGTTCTCAAGCTACACATTTAATTTCTCCACTAGATGACTTCAAAGATAAAACGATTACACTGAATTTAAATTGCAATGTGAGGATATACAGGGGAAAGTCAATGTAAAAAACGCTGATCTCCAGTATTTATGAAGTTACCTTTCTTTACAAAAGCAAATCAGTAGAGAGAGAATTTAAGATAGGTTACATCAACCAGGGACTAATATAAATAACATCGTTCAACTAGTGTCCAGTTATGACTACTGCACACAATGAGTTATATTACTAAGCATGAATATAAGAAGTTTATTTTTTCTGATGAAAAATTGCTTTTTTCCCCCCCAGTTATAATCTTGCAAATCATGGCATTAATTGAATTCAGTTTCTATATCAGATTTCAAAGAAAAATATTTTCTAGCTAATCAATTAAAAGCAACATAAAACTTTTCACTCCTGTCATAACTTATGTTTTATACTGTTTGAGGAGCTTAGAAACATGGCAAATAACTGTTTAAGTTTCATGCAAGTAATATTTTATAAAGCAATGTTACTTCAGTACAAAAAATTCGGAAAACTCAACCAGGTTAAATTCTCCATTCACTTTTCAGTGGAGATTCCGACAGCAGTTAATTTTCCTCTCAATCACCCTTATACTCTACTGATGACTGCAAAAAAATGGACAATTCGGAATGTTTCTGAAGAAGTAGAAAATGATATAATATAAATATATATCACTATACAAACTGAACTTTACATTTGATTCTACTGTGTAAATGTGATACATCAGGCAGCAAATCCATTTCACTCATTGCTTTGTCATATCGTACACTAATCAGATCTGGAAAGAAACACTGAATCAATATAGTTTAATAAGATTAGAACTGAAAATAATCAAACTCCTGCTGTACTTTATAACACACACACACACCAAGTGCCATGTTCAAGACAAATGCAGTGCCCTGTGACAAATTATATTTCATTTTTTACCAACTGATAAAGCTAGGTGAAACTATAAACCTTTTCAGTGACAAAGGCCATTACCTTGCATGTGACAGACTTGGTTCTAAAATTCACAACCCAAGGTTTTTTGCCTCATCCAAAAAACACCCTAAAGAAAGAGCGAAAGGGACTGAGAGGGATTCTGTCCTATAATAGATCCTCTTGGCACTGTTCCACTAGTGCAAAGGGGGGTTATAAACAGTCCCCACGGGGCAGATGGGAGACTCTCTATAGTAGAAAACCAATACAGCCAGCTCCATTGCCACTTGTTCCAGGCCCCACCTTGGAATAGAGGCCATGCTCATTGCATGGCTAGAGCATGCTGTACTTTTATGGTCCTCAACTGGTTCAACTGTACGCAGGACACTATTACTGTCAACATAAACAGCCTTAGAGCTCCTCTGTTTCACACTCCCAAAGCAAGAAGAGGGTGAAAGAAGGAAGGGAGAGAAAGCCAGCAAATAGGGTTATGGTCCACCTGAAGATCAAGCCCATTAAGTGCAATTCATTGTTCTGAGAACTAGCAACAAGCAGAATTGGAACGTGTTTATGCATTATACAGAATAACTGTACTAACTGCCTAAAACTGACAGTTGTGAAACACTGCAAACAGGCAATAGAACGCATACCAAGAAAATTTGATATCTGGCATCATGGAAGCAAAAAATAAACTTTTGACACAAACTATATAAGAGAATAGAAACTCACATTTTGCAGTTAAAACCTTGAACTTGGACAATGGAGAAGCACTATCTCGTCTATTACATCCCATCCTACCTGGCTGTTGAAAGCTTAGATCCTTAACTGAAACAAGACTTTAAATTCTAAAGTAAGAATATAAATTATTGCTATATAATTTTGTATGTTTCATAGCCTTATAGTCAAGAGTTAATGTGTTGATATAATTGGCAGATAGTTCACCAGAGAACTACATTCTGTGGTATTGATACAAATTAAGCCTCCTTGTATCTGGGTTATTACAGGATTATAAACTGTCCTGTTCACCTATTATAAAATAAAAATAATAATGTTAATATTACCAAATTACAGCAACAGACAGTGTCAACATAAGACTAAGAAAAATATTATAAAATTAATCTGGTTGTAACCTTGCTACAATCCTACACTATAACTGAAGTGCCTGAAATAGCTCTAAATTAAAAATTACTCATTGGTATTTTGATAATTTATGAAGATATACAAAATTATTCAAAGTAATTGCCTCCCCCCCCCATCAAAAAAAAACCCGAACATTTAGTGTGGAAACCTTAGCCACCACATAAAGTTAATCAGTACTCATACCTAATGTTGATTTGAAGTCTAGACTAGGAAAAAAAAAAAAAAAAAGCATGGGTCCCCCCCCCAAACGAGTTAAACTAGCTTAACTCGTCAAAACAGCTCTAGTTACTATAACCTGATAAAAATCAAGCTAAAAGTATAAAACTGTGCCTACATAAGCATAGGGTAGGGTTTTCAGTTAAGATGCTTCAACAGAGCAAGCTTAAAAGGGTGGGCGGGGGGGAGAGAACGGGACTTTTTCTGATCTAGACAAAACCCCTGCTAGTGTATAAAAATGTCTAAATTAAGGGAATGTCTACACTACAGCTCTACAACACTGAAGCTGTGCCACTATAATGCCATAGTGTATTTGCTTCCCATCAACACCAATAGAAGGGTTTTTCCATCAATGTAGTTAGTCCATGGCTCCAGCAGGAGGTAACTGTCAACAAAAGAATGACATCTACACTTGAGGTTAAAACTTAAACAATGGTCCTGCAGCACCTTAGAGACTAACAAAAAATGTAAATGGGATCATGAGCTTTCATGGGCACAACCCACTTCTGCAGATGAATGGAGTGGTATTGATGAAAGTCCAGGGGCAAGTTAACCTAGCTACAAAGCGCCCAGGGCACATCATTTTTCACACCTTGATAAAACTGCTTGACCAAAAAGGTTAATGTGCAAACCAGGTCTTTTAAAATAGCATGGTTTCTTTGGTTTTGGTTTTTTACAGTAGAGCCCTACTAAAGTCGTGGCCTATTTTGGTCAATTTCAGTCATATGATTTTTAAAATCATAAATGTAATGATTTCAGCTATTTAAATTGGAAATTTCACAGTGTTGTAATTATAGGAGTCCTGACTTTAAACCAAAAAAAAAAAAAAAAAAAAGAGTTGTGGCAGGGGTCATAGTCTTGCTACTCTTACTTCTGTGCAGCTACTGGCCCTATTCATAAGCATTTATAATAAAGGGCTAACAGCTACATGCATGTCAGAGCAAAGCAGAGGTGGAGAATAACAAAATTCTGAATGAAACCGAACACAAAGTCATCATCAAACTACAATGTTCAAGAACAGAGATCCCTAAATGAATAAATTAACAGAGAAAGGCCAGAGAAATTAAAAATAACTTTTTTGGGGGGATGAGGGGGCAGGGAGTGCATTGAGAAATAGAAGACTGAAGAATGACTGAATTAACTTAAGACAATAAAATAATAGTATCCAATTTGCACTTGCAAAACCAAGGTGTTTCACTGTGTTCTCTTACGTAGTGCTGTCAAGTCCTACTGTAGAAAAGAATTGCACAATGGATGAAATTTAATGTAGTGAATCAGAAAAAGGACAAAGTCACTAGAGAGCTTCCCAGAGAAACAGATGCAGGGCAGTAGGGATCTGTTATTGTGGCAATCCAGATTGTCCTGCAGAACCCTCATTTATTCATCAGATGACTGACCAGCCTGAGTGGGTGGCCATGATGTTTGTTGGCATCTTGCTTCCCCTCTGAGCTCTCTCCCATTCACAACTTTGATTCAACATCCATCAAAAAGCCAAATACTTGCTGAAAGCAGTTCCCCATATACTGTATGAAAAGATAAACTGAACATACTGCGCCCTTTGAATTTGCTGTTAGAACAATTTACCCAATGACAGTGTTGACCGGGGCCTAATCCCAAATCCTGTCCTAGGTGCATATGGAAAGACTATTCTCCTATTAGAAGCAAACCAAGCTAGTAGAGAAAAATCAAAGTATGCCTCAAAGTAAGAAGACTGAGGGAAGTTCAGAGGAACCTCTGCTTCAGAGCATGGAGGCAGAAGACTGGAGATGTGACTTAAGATCAATAAGTGTACCACCAGAGAGTACTGTAAAAAAGGTGCAAGGCTAACCTTCTGCTCTGCTCCCAACAGTTGGAACTCAACGGTTCAAGCCTGTTAAAGCAGTGTGTTTCCAAAGAAAGAGAACCCCCGTACATTTGGATGTTAAATTGCGATTAATCAGCTAATCAAGTAGTCGATGGCATTTCCATCGACTAGTCGATTAGTTGATGGGGGGCATTCACTACCCTCACTGCAGCTCTGCAGTTTAAATGCAGTAGAAGCTGGGTGCATAGCAGCATGGATCCTACTACATCTAAACAGCAGAGCCGCAGTGGAGGTAGCTTCCGGGGGTGGCGTGAGCCGGGATTAAGCAGTCCCAGCTCACGTCGTTCCTGGGAGCTAACCCTGCTGTGACTCTGCCTTTTAAATGTAGCAAGAGCGCTGCTGCACCTCTGCCTCCCTGCCCCCTTACACATACCACAGAGACAGTGCTGGGGGGAACTGGCTTTTAAGACGACTTCCCCCAACACTGGCTCCTGCTTCCCCCCACCTTGCTGACACGGATAGAGAGGGAGAGGGAAATGCGACTAGTTGACCTGACTACCCAATAAGCCTAGGCTTATCAGATAGTCGACTACTCAACTACTCTTTTACATTCCTACCGCACATTAAGATCAATAGGCATTTGGGGTTCTCCAAGAAGGGACAACAGAGCCTACAGTTTATAAAGTGCTTGGGACTATTTTCAACAAGAGACACTAAATCATTATAATAGTATTATAAATCAGATGGGCTAAATCCAAGTTTGAAGTCCATAGGCAGAAGGGGGTTGTGACATTGGTCAGGGGACTGAGGTTCAGAGGTTTGGGTTGTGACCTAGTGCAGAGGATTGGGATGCAGAGTCTGGGAAGGGGTATGGGTGCAGGAGAGGGGACAGAGGGGCTGAGGTATCAGAGGCAGGGACTGGCTAGGAAATGCATACCAGGGTGACTCCCAGCCAACAGCCCAGCAGGTTCTGCAGCCAGGCTTCCTGCTTTCCATGCTCTGGCAGGCCACTCAGAGCAGCCAACTTTATAGGCTTGCAGCCATTCAGACACACAAGGGCAAAGAGAGGATGAGGGAAGTAGGCAGTTCCCATTGGCTGGGGATGGAGCAGGCAGGCAGGGAGCCTGGCTGAGGCTGAAGTTCCTGTTGCATCTGCAGGCCAAAGCCAGTGACTTGGTGGGCCAGTATCCTCGGGCCATATTTTACTTGGCCCTGCTCTACAATAACCTCAAGCCACAGATATGGACTTTGCTACCCTGTGAAGCACTGTGGAAAGAATCATACACCTTTGATACATGAAAGAACAAGTTCCCTATCTCCTGTTGAAAGTGTCTTTTGCTTAGCCAGTCAGTGTTGTGGTTGAACTTCCTCTTGAACTGCTTGGATAAATAAGGCCTTGCTCTCTAAGAATGTGAATTTTCTAGCTTAGCAGATTAATGAGAGGCTGTTGAGGACCCTTCAAGGCCCTAATCAGCAATCACAGTTGCCATAAAATGGCAACTGAACTATTGTGGACATGTTAAAATATTTTGGGAAGAACATGAAAATACTACGCAAGTCGAGACCCTACATTTATGGTAAGATGGACCAAATTTTGTAACAACCCCTATATTCTGCCACAGTATTAGTCTAGTGTACTGCTCAAAATACTGCTAACACATGCAAACGTACACAACTGTGGCTCACAACTGAAAAAAAAATATTCACTGTTATAAAAAAATATTTTCAATAGTGATTTCTAAGAATGTGTTTTCCATTATGCCCTCTGAACAGTCCGGCTCACTCCTGGTCTCCAGACTGTGCCAGGGAATAAGGGAACTCATAGCTGACTTCTGCAGCTCATCTCTCCAGCTCCATGAGCTTTAACTAATAAGAGCTATTTTCCATGTAACCAACCCAGTATATCTCAATCCCTTTCTGCCTGATAGCATAGAACAATGCATGCACTAGAACCTAACTTCAATGCAAAAGGAAGCCGCAAGCTGGTGCCAGAAGGGTAATGGCACAGAAAAAGATATACAAAGACAGTGTGTCAGGTGTCCAGTTACAGCAAAATGGTAAAATCCATGGCAAACTAGAAGCTGACTGACTGAAATCAAGGGGCAATTCACATCCCTCCAAACTACTGCTTCAGGTGCTGTGGAAGATACGGCCACACCGGTCTGCACCATTTAGGTTTCACAACTGTGAAAGCTATAAACACAACTCTTTAAAAATGAAAGCTGAGATTCTAGAACACAATTCTGTGGCATTAGGATAACTTCTGTGATAATTTGTAGTTCCATGGCCACAGAATTATCTAGGGCCCCAACTATATTAATTCACGGTCAAATTTTTCTCTAGTTACAGGCAAGTTGGTATAAAGCAAAAGTAATTTTAATAAGTTTCTTTTTACTAATTGCTCAATCTGTAAAAGTAGTCTAATTTCATGTCAAAAGCTTTTTCTCACTAACCCCTACATAAGAACTTCATTGCATCCATAGAGCTTACATTACTATATTGCTTACCACTTCAATAGGTTAATTGAGTATGTACCACTTATGAAAATATTTTAATTATCAGTTAAAGCAAATGACAATATTAAAGTACCAAATGATGATGACAACACTTGATGGTGGACTCATTGGAAAAGTCTTTCTTTCTAATGTGGGAGCAGTGTTGGTAGCTTCAGAAAACTAAATAATGAAATA